AATGGAGGTAATAGATATCCAGTGCGATTCAGATTTAGAGGCAAAATTCATTGAAGTTGGCGTTTCTGAATTTTACAAATATTTGCCAGCCAGATTTGAAAACACTCGAAAATTAGCATATGAAGTTACGTCCATGTTTGGAAGTACTTATCGGTGCGAGCAGTTATTTTCACTTATGGAAGGAAATAAGTCTCCAATCAGATCGAGAATTACTGACGTTCACCTTGGGTCAGTTTTAAAATTAATCACTGCGAACAAGATTTCCCCCGAAGTAGGAAAGATAGTAGCAGAAAAGAGATGCCAAATATCAGGGAGAAAATATTAACTTTACTTTCTTTTTTCTTATTAGTATTTTTTAAAAATAAACCTACATAAATGTTACTATAAAAATTTAATTACTTATTTTCTTTTTTTGCGGCCCACATAATCTTATTACTTTTTTATTTGGCCCGTGTTAGGATTTGAGTTTGACATGCTTGGTGTAGTAACATATAGGTAACACAGGCTCTCATTGAGCGTATCTAGATATCGCCACCTACACGGGAAAACGATTGTTTCATAATGACCTTTGTTTATACTGTATATATAATTCTACTGTCCTCTAAAAGCATATGTCTGTAGTTTACTTAAATACCATTTCTGAGATCCCACCTAGTGTAGCATATATAAGTACTATTGTCCAATACAGTATTAGAGGTAATTTATAATACAATATAATGCGGCTTATGATTCTAAAACCACATTGGAAAATATCCCGCATGAGTTTCTTTTAAATGAAAAATCGAAATGGGAATTCCCTTCCCTGGACACTTTTATTTTTCCGTTCAGCATTACTCTTCATAATTCATCCTTTCATACTTCATCCCTAAGGTTAGAAATATTCGTTATTTCTCCTTAAAAATAAATTTCGATTTTTCATTCAGAAGAAACTCATGCGGGATATTTTCCAATGTCATATTACAGTATTAGAGATTTCAAAACTGTCTGGTAGATTAAATTGTCCACTGGGAGGGTTTACCACTGAAAAGCCAAGCTTTCCCAATATATTTTTTAATCGCAGTAAAGACAGTAGAAGTTTGTTTTGATGTCTAAAAGAAACATTGGTGCTTTATAGTTTTCATTTATCATATATAGATGGCATGTTATTGCCTTATGACCTTTCTATATGCGTATTTTAACATATATACCTCAACCGCATTAAGTTGAATAACTTGTCCAGGAATGAGTTTCTTTTTAAATTCTCAATTAGAATTCTCAGCTTACAAGATTAATAATGACAGGACTGATTTTAAAAAATAAAATGCTCCAATGGTCCCCGATTCATGCAAAAGTCCACCCCCACAGTGCAAGTAACCAAACGAGGCTCTGGCACCTTTGGAAGTGTAAATTCGACCTGCTTTTCACATGTGTAGACATGTGGCACACTTACAGTAAAAGCAGTCGCCTACTTCTACCCACCATGATTATGGTCTGTATCACGTGTAATAGGGATAAGCAAAAAAAAAATAATGACAGGAATTCTTTGGTAGAAAAACTTTTAAACACGAAACATGACAATTATAATACAATTTCAATACAATCTCATTCTTTGATAACCAATATTGTATCTTAATTCGATACCGGACATTGATTTATTGTGAACCTATAACATTTTATTTTGTAACATTTATAAATAAAACATACAAACTTGACAATCATAACGAATAGCCAATATACAAGGTGGGATCAATAAATAAGGTGAATTATAATTTATTTGAAAAAAATAAGAACGATATTAAAAATTAGCACTTGATTTATTCAAAATAATCACCTTGGCTTTCTATACATCGTCTCCATCGTTCTGGCAACTTGAAAATACCCTCTTTATAGGCACTCTTAGGAAGCATGTGAAAAAAATCTTGCACCACTTTCTGGACATCTTCATCTGAGTCAAATCGCTTTCCCTTTAACTCCTTCTTTAGTAGTCCAAAAAGGAAATAGTCAGAGGGGGCTAGGTCTGGAATATATGCAGGAGGTTCTAAAACTTCAAAACCTAATTAAATGATTGTAGATACAGTTTTACATGATGTATGTGGCCTTGCATTATCATGAAGGAAGAGAACACCTTTACTAAGCTTCCCTCTTCTTTTATTTCTTATATCGGGCTTTAGCTTATTTACAAGAATGTCACTATAAAGGTCGCTGTTCACACGTTGCCTTGAGGATAAAAAATCTAGACAGATTGGTCCATCAACATCCCAAAAAATTGTTAACAAAACTTTACCGGCCGAACGTTGAGACCTGATTTTTTTTTTTTTTTTGTCTTGGAGAGTCACCTCGTTTCCATTCCATAGATGCACGTTTTGTCGAAGGATCATAATGATAACACCAACTCTCATCTCCAGTTACAATTTGGTCAAGGAAATGATCACCTTCCTCTTCATACCGCTTTAACAGAACCTTTGAAACCCGAATACGGTTAAGTTTTTGGTCCAAATTAAGGAAATGTGGAATCCCTTTGCAGCATATTTTTCTAAATTGCAATTGTTCTTTAATAATGGTGTGCACAGTTCCATAGCTTATATTAAAATTGTCGGTTATGGTAAAAATGGATATTTTTCTATCCTCCAAAATTAAGTTTTCAACCGCATTTATCGTGCTTGGCGTCGCTGTAACACTTGGTCGTCCAGGTCGCTCAATATCGGTACATGTAATTCGTCCATTTTTGAACTCGTTAACCCATTTATAAATGTTTTTTTGAGACAAACAAGACTCACCATAGATATTATTCATTCTTTGGCATATTTGAGATGTTTGAATACTTTCTGCATTCAAGAAACGAATAACTGCACGTTGTTCAAGCGTGGTGCAATCCTTCAAGGGAGCTTCCATTTTAGTTTATTTATAAGTCTCGCGCCGCGCGTGGGAAAAAAGAACAGAACACCTTAAATATTCTCTCGATGTTATATTTTAATATTCTGTGGTTTAAATTATTTTTGCTTTTTTAATTTTTAAGAAATAAGATAATTCACCTTATTTATTGATCCCCCCTTGTATATAATATTTTTAAAAATAGAGCAATCCATAAATGAATCTTTAATTAAAAAGAAACATAAATTGGATCAAAATATCATTTATTTTACCAATAATTCAGTTGGCTGAACGCCTACTTTTAACAAGGTATTAAAATATACAAGTATCAGATTCATCAACAATCAATTCTGTCATCGCTTGCTTTAGTGAATGGAATAAATACCCAAATATGGCCATTTCATATAAGCATCGGTGGCTCAGTGATAGCATGCTCGCCTGCCACGTGGGCTGCCCGGGTTCGATTCCCGGCCGATGCATTTTTTTTTTACAATTTTTAAAACTCATTTATATTATTATTAAAATATATAAGTATCAGAGTCATAATTTCTGTCATCGTTTGCTTTTGTGAATGTATGTACATAATGGATTTCATATTTTTTATTAATTTTTGTTCTGGCCTTTATTTGTTTAAATCTCTTTTTAAAAATCGTTTAATATGCAGTCGCAATCATTAGCGAACACATATGTTTTCCTAATATTTCCATATGCTCTTTTATTTTTTCACAGAAAAATATTTACATGCCAGTATTTTGGATTATTTTTTTTTATAAACCTTTTTTTTTTATTCTTACTGAGAAGATGGTCATCGCAGTCAGGATTCTTTACAGTCAGTCACTCAACTCAGGCAATTTCAAAGGTTAATGGGGGTTTGGTGAAAAAGCTGCCGTCTATTTAAACTATATTAATTTCGAAACAACTAAATAAGGTGCAAAAAAAAAATTAAATCAAATACCTAAACACTAATATAATACAATTTTTGCCATTACACACTTTTTTTTCCTGTAGTTTATGTGTTTCTTCTGTATTGCTATTCTATGGCACTTTTACTATTTATTATTGATGTACTTTCAGTATGAAGGATACTTCACTCGGGGGATTTCTCGGGCGAAGCCGGGTCATTCTTCTAGTTATAACATATTAATGTGTGTCAACAACAAACTCAGCGTCACATCTTATTGAGTTTGTTGTTGACACACATTAATATGTTTTAATACCTTGATAAAGGTTGGCGTTTAGCCAACTGAAATATTGGTAAAATAAATGAAATTTTGATCTAATATATGCCTTTTTAATTAAATATATATATAATTCGATACTGGATATTAAATTATTGGAACTATACCATTTTAATTTCGTAATATTTATAAATAACATACAAACTTGACAATCATAATAAAATTACAGAACAAAATAATCCTTAGACAACAAATGTTTCATCTTAATATGTTTTCTAGATACTGTACAATAATGTATTGAACCTTTACAATTTTTATTCCGTGGTATTTATAAATAACATGCAAAGTCTAACTGCTTTTCACATGTGTAGACATGTGGTGCGCTTACAGTAAAAGCAGTCGCTAACTACCCACCATGATTATCATGGCCTGTACCACGTGTACTAGGGATAAGCAAAAAAAAAATATATATATAAAAACTACTTGATAGTAAATAATTATACTTCTGCTTTTCTTTCAAGATGACACGACCACAAACGATACCATTTAGTATAAACACAAGGTAATAAGACCAAATCCAAATAAATAAATAGTGTGTGACGTTTCGGTAACAGCGTTGTTACCATCTTCAGACAAAAGTATTGAATGAGAAATTTTACCACAGCATGTTTTTAAATAGTTCCTGTTATCAAGTATGTAAACAAGATAACAGATAAGAAGAATATATTTATCTGAGAAACACAAAATAGTATTGTTAGAATTTATTTTTTTTTCAAATATAATTAAAAGCATATCTATATTTGAAAAAAATAATTCCAACAATAATATTCTGTGTTTCTTAGATAAATATCTTCTTCTTATCTGTTATCTTGTTTACACACTTGATAACAGGAACTATTTAAAAACATGCTGTGGTAAAATTTCTCATTCAGTAATTTTGTCTGAAGATGGTAACAACGCTGTTACCGAAACGTCACACACTATTTAAAGCCTAGTGGACATGGCATCTGCCCGGTAAGCGGAACATTGTGGGTTCGATTCCCATCCCTGGACACTTTTATTTTTCCGTTCGTCATTACTCTTCATAATTCATCCTTTCATACCTCATCCAAAAGGTTAGAAATGGTCGATATTTCACCTTGGAATAAAATTTTAATTTGTCGTTGAAAGGAAACTAATGCGGTGAAACTTCAAGTGTCGTTTTACAATTACATGCCGCAGTGTATTATATTGTACTATTTATTTATTTAGTTTTGGCCTTATTACCTTGTGTTTATAATCTATAATCCAAATTGTGCTTTATCAATACCACTAAGTACTCATGTACTCAACCAGCAATAAATCTCTATCTCAAAATAATATTTATTATAAAATATATAATACATTATATATAGCAGCTCTTAAAAACCCACTATTATTCTGAATATTATATATTTAAAAGGAAAGAGACATCCTATATAGAGGATGCTTCAAAAACAATTTACGAAACCATAGATAACCCTTTAGAAAATCTTGTAACCAATGTTCATAATGGAATTTATGGTAAAAAAAGTTTTTTTTTTTCAAAGATCTCCAAGCAGTTGTTTCTCCCTCGACGTGGGACCTATTAAATATTTTAGTTGAAGTTACTCTGCGAGAAATTGGGAGAGACGTGTGATAAGCCAACTTGACATCTGGTAACGCTGGGAAAAAAAATATCACTGAAAATATTTTTGACAATTTTTGTTATAGGGTTATTATAAAGTCGCTTTTGTAACATGAATGTTTTATAGAAATATATATTGATATCTCTTTGCTATTATTATATAAAATGTTTTATATCTTTATATATAAGGTGTTGCGATTAATAATAAATACCTTTTAAAATCGGTACCCTAGCTTTTTGGTTCTTTTAAAGAATTTAAATCACTTTCGAAATTTTAATAAGAAATTCGCCAGTATTCTAGTTTGCTCTGTGATCAAAACAATGATGACTTCACGTGAGTTAGTTGCCGATACATCTAAAGAAATATATTTTGATTTATATATGAATACACATATATTTTGATGTATGAAAAATTTAAGGAAGAAAACATTGTTCTATTCTTCTTAAATTTATTCATTAATCTCTATTTGATCAAATTGAGGTGTAAAGTCAGTTCTCTTGAGCTCTTTGATAGAGTCTTCTGGGGATGAGTAGAACTCATTGATAGATGATCTTATGTAGCGTTGAGAATGTGGCACTTTTTATTGTGAATTTTAAAAACAACAACAAGATTTTAAAATATTATATTATTAATAAAGTTTATATATATATATATGTTATATTAAAATATTTCATTTAAAATTATGTTATATTAAAGTATTGTTTTTTTTTTAATTATATTTCATAGATAAAATACTCTGCTAAATCGACCGCCAGAGGTCACACTTTGCATATAAAAACTCGTTGTTGTTCTTCCCCGTTGGACGTTAGCAGCCCCGTAAAATAAAGATATTTTCTCTCTCTCTCTCTCTCTTCCCCGTTGGTCGGCTCAAAACATTTGTACATTATGTAAATACGCTTTTCATTTTTTTTTATTCTTACGCCTTAAGCCAGGCAGTACTTTTATCAAATTATGTTTCTATATATTCCTTAGCTCAATTAAAGCAATATCTGATCAAAACCATTTTTGTTATTATACTTTCACAAGATTTTAGCCATGACTGCACCACCATTACAATAATCCTCAACATGATCATAAATACAAGCAGAAAAACCAAATATCATTTTTTTTTAATATAATATATATATATATATATATATATATATATATATATATATATATTAAAAATAAAAAAGGCATCTCCTGACCACGAGCACATGTGCTTTTTAGATGGCAGAGCGCCATCTAGTGGAGAAAAAATAAACTAAACGTTTATTTAACTTTCTCCGTGATATTTCGCCAACCCAATTTCGTGACAAATTAAGAAAAGCCATACACGAACGCGTTTCGCGCTGTTGGCGCTCGTCAGCGTGGAGAAGTCTGTAACCACTGCGACCAAAAAATATTTTTGGTCCCAATGGCTTCCTGAGAAATCAGAAAATGGGTATTTGAGGCCAAATTTGCGTAAAGACGCTTAACACATGAAAAAACAATAAAAAAATAAAAGATAAGTGGGTCAGGTTTTTCTATTGTTTTTTCATGTGTTAAGCGTCTTTACGCAAATTTGGTCTTAAATACCCATTTTCTGATTTCTCAGGAAGCCATTGGGACCAAAAATATTTTTTGGTCGCAGTGGTTACAGCCTTCTCCACGCTGACGAGCGCCAACAGCGCGAAACGCGTTCGTGGATGGCTTTTCTTAATTTGTCACGAAATTGGGTTGGCGAAATATCACGGAGCAAGCTAAATAAACGTTTAGTTTATTTTTGCTCCACTAGATGGCGCTCTGTCATAAAAAAGCACATGTGCTAGTAGTCAGAATATGCCTTCTTTATTTTTAATATATATATGTGTGTTTTTTCATTGGATCTTGGCTGTAGCTATTGGCTGAGTGGCACCAAATCAAGTTAGTTTAAACTGAAACTGGTAGCTAATATACAGCTTGCATCACGCTGATGAGGGCCAAAAGCCATAAACACGTACCTGGTTAGCTTTACTTGATCTTGATATATAAAAAAAGATAATTTGATCAATTCTGGAATAATCAAAAATAAACAATTAGTTGGTTTTTATTCCAACAGATGGCGCAACCCATTAGAAAATATAATTTTTTACGATCGAAGTAAATGCCTTTATCTTAATTCATCATAAAAATACTTAATTATCATAAAGATAGAGGCTGCCTGGCTGGCATTCATATTTCTTAAAATTAAAGATACTCCGGCCAGTAAATCTTTTTCAATCCTTCGTCGAAACGATAAGACAATAAAAAAGATTTACTGACCGAAGTGTCTTTAATTTGAAGAAAAATACTTAAGTATATAAAGAATTTTATCAATAAGAGTCTTTTATATTGGATTTTTTGTACTTAATACTTTATTGAGAAGTCGCTTTGTGTATAAATACCATTCTTTGATTATATGAAATCGTATTTTGAGACAAAAACGGCAATGCTCTTGCTAAATTATTTAAATATTAAATAAAGAAAAATGAATTTCCTTTAGTGCAACACGTTGATGAGAGCCAACAGCCCGAAACGCGTACGTGGTTAACCTTTTTTAATTAATTAAGAATGCCTCATTTTTTTGGTTCAAATCTGGAATAATTAAAAATCAAAGATTATGAAAAAGGCATCTTCTGATCGTGCAACTTTTTGTTGTAGATGGATTGTGCCATCAGCAATTTTTTGTTGCACTCTAAGGAAATGCCTTTTATTAATTTAACCAACTGATTCCAATAAAATTTTACTTTTGTAACATTTTTCAAATAAACGATTAGTTGATATTTATTCCGAAAAATGACGCAAGCCATCAAAAACTTTTATTTGTACTTTCAGGAGATGCCTTTTTTTCTTGATTTATCCACCTGATTCCAGTATATAATTCCACTTTTGTACTATTCTTATTTTCAAAATATTAAATTTTAAACTCCAATATATGAAAATCTCTAGTACAGTTAAACCTGTCTATAGCGCCCCCTCTTGGGACTCACTAAAATAGGGTTCTATAGAGATGGATGCTATAAATAGGTCACTTTTAATGTAAAATGTTTACATTTTAATGTTTAAAATCGGGGGCTATAAAGAGGAAGGCGCTCTTTAGAGGGGGCGCTATAGACAGGTTTAAATGTATATTGAAATATATATATTATTTATACACAATATCTCTCTTTCAATTATAAAGAATTCTATTCAATAAAAATAAGTAAAAATGTACTATTTCAATGAACAAAATTTAAGAAGATAAAAACAAATAATTTAAGTTCATTCATACCATAAGAAAAAACATATTGAAATTAAAAAGACAAAAAACTAGAACAAGAATAGGTTAACGTGGTTTTTTATCTTCATCAACAAAGCTGAACACAAGATACCTCGACAAAAACACAAGACACGCGGAAAAAAAAACTAGATAAATAAATCAAGTGAAAATTTTTGAAAGAAGAAATCGAGTCGTTTTTTTTTTCTTCCTCTCCTGTGAAAAATCCTACTTTTTACCATAGACTTGCATAAATTTTTTTTAGTGTTTTTTTTTCTTTTTTTAAGATTTTTTTTTTGTTGAGAACTGTTTAAGTTTGACGATGAGATAACCAATCTTAATTAATGCCTGAAGTCTTTGAGAATTTTCGGAGGAAAACGAAATGCCTTTCCATTATTAATGAGATGTTTTTTTTTTCTTCTTCTGCTTTGAAATCTAAACTTTGAATATTTTTGTTAATATGGAAGAAAACAGGTTTATGTGAATTGGGTTATTATAGTTTAAAATATATTAACAATAAAATATCTTTTATTAATTCATCTTTTTCTTCTGATAAAAAAATATAACATATTAAATGTATTTTACCTGTATTTAATTATATCTATTATTTATAACTAGATATAAAAATGATTTTTATATACTCAACAATAAGTTTTATAATTAACCTTTTAATTCATTATTTTTATCGTATTTTTTATTATAAAAATAAATATTAAATAGATAATGTTTATATATCTGTTGCGCTTTTTATGCAAATTATATGTGCATTAAATTAATCCTTTTTCAGATTACAATATTTTTCACTAATGAAATGTTAAAATGTGTAGTTACTACCTATAATGTATTTTTGTTTTAATTGTTAAAGATATTTTTGTTTTTTTTTTTCGATGCTTTTTTCACAATCATGGGCAAAACCTAAGGAATTTGTACCTTCTAGCATGTATATAGGGATTGAGACAATAACTCTGAAAGATACACTCATGGACAAAACCTAAGGAATTTGTACCTTCTAGCATGTATATAGGGATTGAGACAATAACTCTGAAAAATATTTGATACACAGTAACCCACGAGATAATCAAGGATGAATAAAATTGCCTCTGTCTTCAAAAAAAAAAAAAAGAAATAATAATAATATATAGACAACCACTTTTGTCCATGAATGTATTTCTC